CTCCTTTTCCTCATTGTCCACCAGGGCTGTGTATTTATCCTCGGGCACTGGAACTTTCAGAGCATTATACTTCTTTTCAAAATTATCCACCAAGCCAGCTTTGGCCACATTGGCCTTGTAATACGCCCAGTCAATCACTGGTGGTTTCTCAGGCAGATTAGCCAACCTGTTGTGGACGGTCTCATTTCAGGACCTCAGGAAGTTTGCAATTATCTTTTGGTTTCAGGGTATGATCTCCACAAAAGACACCAAATCAATGGTTTTTAGAGCAAGTTTATGGCCAGCCATCTTGGGATCCTTCACCGACCCCAGCAGAGCACTGTCTCCAACAGCCTCTCCAAGATGTTTTAATATTTCTTCTCAAAATGGCACTTGCCAAAATTAAAAATAAAATTGTAACCATCATAAACTAGACCCTGACAATGGAGATGTAGTCCCACTTGATGGAGAAGCTTGTAACAAGTTAAGTGTGACCCATTCTAGAATCTAAATGTAGACCTCCCAAACTTAGTCTCTTCTTTTGAGTCAAAATGGTGGAAGTGAATTGCCCAACAACCACCCTCAGCCATGTTCCTGAAGAGTAGATAGAAGAAAATATGGTAGATGTAGAGAGATAGCTCAGTGGTTAAGAGCACCAACTGCTCTTCCAGAGGACCTGGATCTGATTACCAGCAAGCACATGGTGGCTCACAACTGTCTGTTGCTCCAATTCTGGGGAAACAGACACCTTCTTCTGCCCTCTGTCAGCTCTGCATGCATTAGGTAAACACCGATTTGCAAAACATCCTACAAATAAAATAAAAGCGAGTATTTTTTTTATAAAAGATAATAGAGGAGTTACAGAACTTTTTGATTTTCATTAAAAGATTTTTTTAATATTAATCAGTGTATGTGTGTGTGTGTGTGTGTGTGTGTGTGTGTGTGTCAGTACAAGCACACACAGGTACATGTGAGTGCAGATTCCCACCTGGGGGTCCAGAAGAGTCTATCTGATCCCTTGAAGCTGGAGGCAAAGGCAATTTTAAGCCTTCCTGATGTGAACTGAACTGGGGTTTTCTGTGAAAGCAATGCTCCATCTGAACTACTGAGCTGTCTCTCCAGCCTGTCAGGTTGATGATTGACAGATTCATTAGTTTTATATGATGGGAGCTGAACAACACTACGTGTTTACTGATGAATTCTAATCAATATAAACATTTTCACTTTGGGGGAATATTTCCTCAAATGTAACCTGACTCTTCAGTCATCAAAAAATAAGTATATCCAGTAGATAATCCCACACCCATATACAGATGGGCAATAATAACTGGAATTAGTGAATTATTAAAACAAAAGAAACTGTTTGGAGACATGTTGAGGAGCATGAGAAAAGCTGAAAGGGACTAAGGGAGTACATATCATCATATCCCATTTTATGTATGTGTGAAATTTTCAAGACTAAAGAAAAATTAAGAGATCAAAGCATCAACAGATTTGTGTGATTTAAGGAGAGGTATTCAGTGTGTATGTAGTATGTTTGGACATTATGCCAAACATTAGAAACTGTGAAAGACTAAGTCCATAATAAATAAACTTGATAGAATATTGTAAATATCATATTTAAGTATGGGATACAATTATGAGAGTCAGAAACTCTGTATTTTATTTAGTTTTAAAAAATGAGTGAATCCTTAACTGCTTTGGGATTGAAAATGCCTCCCAAGAGAGACCCTCCCAATATTAGGAAAGCTGACAGCAAGAATCTCTCCTAGACTCATCCATGTCTAGCACCTACAATTCCCCTTCCAAATTCCTCCAAAAACCCATGGAATGTGCTTAATGATAAAAGCTTGTGATAGTGCAGCATAGGAATTGTTCTTAACCCTAAGTTATCTGAACCTCAGAAAATGCAAATAATTACATCACATTTCATATGAACTGGAAAAAAAAAACTAAGTACAAAATGTACTGAAGCAACTAAATTTAGGCAGTATCAGGGTAGGCTTCCTCTCCAGGCCACTCCTCAATCTTTAAGCTGCTCTTACATCAGCACATCCCATAGGCAGGACAGACTGAAGGTTGAAAATTATGTAGTTGGGATGGTTTCCCACTCTTCTACTTGAAGTCTCACCTAATCACAGGAGATGGCCTTTTCACTCTAGTATCCACTATTGCTAGGAGTCTTAGCTGGGGTCACTCTTGTAGATTCCTAGATTTACTTGTGCCAGGTTTGAAATGCACCCCCCTTCCAGTAGTCTCAGTATAGTCCCCCTATTCTCCCCTACCTGATTGTTCATGTTCCCATCCCTACTTGCCCGCTGACACTACCTGGAGCACTAGGTCCCACAAGTTAATGACCCAGAGATCTAGGATGGAACTAAACATGTCTGGAGGGGGGAAATGTCAATGTAATGGTACCTAAAAATATTCTGCTATATACATAGATTGGTGCCTAGCCTGATAGTCATCATAGAGACTTTATCTAGCATCTGGTGAGAACATGCAGAGCCCCACTGTCAACCATTAGGCACAGCTCAGGGAATCATGCAAAAGAGGGGGAGAAAGGATTGTAGGAGCCAGAGGGATCAAGGACACCACTAGAAAACTCACAGAATCACCTAATCTGGACTCACAGGGTATCACAGAAACTCAGCTGACAACCAGGGAACCTGCATGAGACTGACCTAGGCTCTCTGCATATAGGTTATAGCTGTGTGACTTGGTTCTCTTGTGGGACTCCTAACAGCAGTAGTGGGGACTGTCTCCAACTCTTTATTAGCCTTTGGAATCCTACTCCTTATACTGAGTCACCTTGCCCACCCTTAATACATGGGGAAGTGCTTAGTCTTGCTGCAACTTGACATGCCATGTTTTCTTGATATCCATGCCCTTTCCTAAACAGAAATGGAGAAGGAGTGGATTGGGAGGCAGGAATTGGATGGGTGAGGAGAAATGGGAAAAGTTGAGGGAAGGGAAACAGTTACCAGGATTTAAAATAAATTATTTTTTAATTATTAAATTTAAATATGTGGAAATGATAGTTCAAGCACACAGATTCAATCTTAAATTGAATCCCAAGGTGATAAAGATGACTCTCTGATGTCTTGAGGTTTATCTATCATCTATTACACCGAGTGTGCATGGATCCATTCTCATCTTAAGGACAAAATGATTATAAGGCAAATCAAGACCCCTACCCACTCCTCTTGGGATAGCCATTGTGTAGTCTATGTTCTTTCAGATTTTTTCTTGTGTTTTGCATTTACGTGTACTTGCCTTTGTAAATGAATGTGATAAACTGTCTTTTCATTGTTTCACAGATGTTACAGGGAATGAACCAGGGTTCAGGAAACAAAGATACATCGTATTCTGGCTATGGAAAAGAAGTTATGAAAGGAAATATATTCAGAATTTGAGCAAGGTTCTGAGAACAAATAAAGATAATAAAAGAACCATAGATGGCTACAATGGTGAGTTCTCATACTAAGGACAACAAGAGCTAAGAGAAAAAAATAGAGACTTAAAAAACCACAAGTAAAATGCATAACTACAGAACAAGTGGAAGTTGTTAGCAAGAGTGGTACAGCTGCTTCTGTAGCTACACACTGGAAGAGCATGCATTAGGCCAATTGGTGTACTCCCCAAAAGCACTTTACCTACCAATCTATTCCAAGTTTCCAAGTCACTGGCTTATAAGGAACAAAGTATGTTAGCTTCATGTGTTGTGAGCTAATGATTGCATTTCCTCTGCTATAAAAGTCTTAATGCACAAATGATAGGTCTGGCACCAATCACCCACAGGTTTCTCAGTAAGGTACAACCAACATAAGGATACACAGAAAGTAATCACTTATACAAACAAGGAAGTCATTCAGCAGTGCAGGTAAGTCTGATCCCAATTAACCTAATCCTGCACCTCAAGCCAGTGAACCAGCATAATGGAAATGAAAATTTCATGTAGTTAAGAGCAAGAACAAAACTATACTACCTGTCTCAGTGCAACAAAACTGTGGCGATATACTTGACAATGACTGGGACCTGGAGGAACTGAATTGTGAGATCTATAAAAGGTCAGAACATCTTCAAGGATGGTTTTAATCCCTTATCATGGAATACTGGTAGCAACAGATGTGGCACCTTAGTACCTACTATCAACTCACAAAGTGAATGCACATGTTGCCTTAATTCCTCCTCTCAAACATCACGCACTTTTTTTTCTTGAGTTTCATTTTAATGTGGAAATATACTAATAAAAATAAATAACAAAAACAAAAAATAAATACAAATTGAATGTATTTGGAAATTGTGATTGCACAGTTCCTTGTTGGTATTCCAAAATGGCCTTCAAATCTTATACACAAAATATGCATATGTGTGTTCTCCTGATTTAAACCCCTTCCACAGAAGATAAACTTCAAATGGGTACTGTGTACAAACTACAAGAGACAGACAAATGGCTCAGTAGACTAAACCTTTATAAGCACACCAGTATACACATTCAGAAATTCCTGCGTATGAGACAAGGCATAGTTTGAGAGGTTATCCAATCCTATGATGATCCCTAAACACATATATATTAAATGTATTCAGCATTTTATATTTATTATTGTTGTAATATATGTACATACTTTTATATATACATGTATATAATTAAAGAATTCATAAATTAGAGAACAAATGAAAGGGGCCAGGGATGAGTTGACTGGGAAGACAGAGCAGTAGAAGTTATTTAAATACAATATTCATTTTTAAATTCTCAGAATATAAAATAAATGTAAGAGAGAAATTTCCTTGTTCTAAAAGCCTTAAGCATCAGTTACTTCAAATAAACATTCCCTAGGAATGTAAGTTCAAGATTATTATAATCTTAGCCTTATAAATACATGTAATTCTCTGTTTTCGGGACAGGATATATAATTTATATGTGTGTGTGAAATATGTTTACATATATGTAAAGATTTTCTGCAGGTGATGAACAATAAGTTTCTACATTCACTAAAGACAGTCCACAGCACCTGTATTTAAGTTTTCCTATAACCAACTAGCTGTCTGCATATTCTCTTCATTGCCACTTTCATTTCTTGATTTCTGAATGTATAGATCACAGGATTCAGAAAAGGAGTAACAACTGCATCAAAAATGGCCAGAAACTTATCCAGATGTATAGAAGGAGAAGGCCAAGTGTAGAAGAATATCAAAGGACCAAAGAATAAGACCACCACAGAGATATGAGCTGAAAGTGTGGACATGGCTTTAGAGGAACCACTTGAAGAGTGTTTTTGTACAGTGATTATGATGACAATATAGGAAATGATCAGTATGAAGAAGGAACCCACAGAAATGAATCCACTGTTGGCTGTGACCATGAATTCCAGTTGATAAGTGTCTATGCAGGCAAGTTTGATAAACCGAGGAAGGTCACAGTAGAAGCTGTCCAACACATTGGGTCCACAGAAAGGTAAGTTTACTACAAAAGCCAGTTGAACAAGGGAGTGCATAATGCCAATAACCCAGGCAGCCACTAAAAACAAGATGCACATCCTTGGGCTCATAATTGTCAGATAATGGAGAGGCTTACATATGGCCACATATCTGTCAAAGGCCATGGCTATGAGCAGCACCATCTCCACACCACCAATGACATGAATGAAGAATATTTGAGTGACACAGCCTCTGAAAGAGATGACTTTGTGTTTTCTGAATAAGTCATAAATCATCTTGGGAGAAGTAACAGAAGAAACACCTAAGTCAATGAAGGAGAGGTTAGCCAATAGAAAGTACATGGGAGAGTGTAAGTGAGGGTCAGATGCCACAGTAAACACGATGAGGGAGTTTCCCATCATGCTTGCTACATAAAAGATGGAGGAGGACACAAAGAGCAATAGTTGGATATTCCAGGAGTTGGTGAGTCCCAGGAACACAAACTCTGACACCACAGACTGATTCACTCCCTCCATTGGATTTGTGGACAGTGCTACCTGTAAGAGGAAACAGGAGAAACTATGCATTATAACTGTATTAATGTAAAGTCCTACATATATATAAACAAGTGCTGAGCATTACTAGTCACCAGAGGATCATAAACTGTAGTAAAATATCACCTCACAGTCTCCAAGGATAACAAAAGAAGGTGCATGGGAAGTGTTGGGGGAGGAAAGGAAAAAGAAATGAGATGACTGTATTTTTATATCAAAAACTTAAAAATATTTAAAGATAACAAGTTTTGGTGGATTTTAAAAGATTTGTGAATATAAATTAGTATATTTATTCAAGAAAACAAAAAAATTCTTGGAAGTACTTCAAAAAATTAAATATAAAGACTGGGTTTGTAGCCTAATGAATTTAAACAACAGAAGAGTGAGATCCTATGTTTGATCCTTAACACCACAAATGATAAAGAGGTTGTAGAGGATGTAGGTAGAAGAAAAACAGAAAAGACTAAAAAATGGAAATATCAGACTAGAGAGATGGCTTGGTTAGTAAGAGCCCTTGCTGTTTAATTGTGAGTATCTGTGCTCAGATCCCAACATTCAAACAAGAAGCTAATTGTGGCTGTGTGTGGCTGTACCCACAACATTGTGAAAGGTGCAAATAAAAGGATCTCTTGAGTTTGGGGACCCACCAGACTAGATCCAGGTTCAACATGAAACACTCAGAGGAATAACGTGGAGAATGAGAAAGTAGGACCCAGGGCATTGTCTTTCAGCCTCCAGTGTAGACTGATCTGTGTAACTGTGTGTGCGCATGCACATATGCACATACATGCACATTGAATGTACATAAATCATGTTCATATATATCACAATCACACATGCACACAAAATAATAATAAAATTAATTTTTAAAATTTAAATCTAGAAATACTACATGACATAGCAATTCTAATTTGAATGATATATATCCAGAAGAAATAACATTCACATATAAAAAGTAATATGTGTAAATAACATACGCTAAATGACAGAAGAATGGATAGCACACACACATGCGCGCACCACACACACACACACACACCACAATCCAACACACATAAACTATTCTTTGTCCCCCTTCAAAGAAAAGGAGTCCTATTTTTCTTTTAACATGAGCAAACCTAGAAGTCGTTGTGCTGATTGAACTAAAGAGACAGAGAAAGATAAATACTGAAATATATCCGTCAGCATGAACTCTAGAGATTCTACACTCATAGAAGCAGAAAGTGTAACAGTGGACCGTGAGCAAATGGGATGGGATAGAAAAGTGAAATTGAAGATATTTGTCAAAAGGGAAAAAAACACAGACAGGATGGATAATTTCTGGAGATTCATGGCACAGTGTGTTGATTGTTAAAAACATTAATCCCTACATGAAAATTCGTAAGTGTAGACCTTCACCATTCATATTCTAAATAAGTGTGGGTGGCAAATATGCTAGTTAGTTTGACTTAATCACCTTACAGCATGTATATATATTTATGTTTTTATATTTTTATATTTTACATATTCATATATATAAAACATCTTATTGTACATCATAAATATATACAGCATCTATTTGCTATCTGTGCCTTCATAAAACTGGAGGAGGACAGATTTTCTATTATGCTTTTGTAATTTGAAATTGTAATCATTCAGAGAAACTACTGCCATTCACTCAGTCATGTTGAGATGTTCATGAATTAAATGTGCCTCTACTTTCAAATTAGAGTGAGTTCAAAGATGTTCCTCAGAAGATGAAAGATTAACAAACACTAAAGACAATTCTTTACACTTTGATTTGAAGACTAATATATTATCAGTTCAATTATAAAATTAAAAAAAAAACTACTCACTGTTTTTAACTATCCATCTTGATATCCATGGCAAAGACTATAGACCTAATTCTGACATATAGTCCCTTACTTCTAACTTCTCAAGTCTGGAAAATATTTGACCTCAAGGTTCATGGGATATTTCCCCTCTCCTTGAAGTCTTGCTTTACAACATTAGCATTAATGTACTATCCATTAATTGAGTTAACTGCACATGAGACTAACTCCCCAAACAGAGGTAGACTGATACATATTTGCATTCTGTAAAACAATCAGTTACCAGTTTGCATTATGTCAGGAACAAAAATTGTGTCAAGAAAATTTTCTAGCAATTGACATCACAACAAAATGAAGTATCCAAACTCACATTCTTCCAGAGTATCAGCCTTCGAAGGACAGGGAATGACAGGAATCATTGCCCTGAACTTATTCCACATGACCTAAATCCTCTGCAAGATGACATCATGTAGCAGTAACTATGTGTTTATATATCTGCAAAATGGCTTGTCACATTATACCATAGTGTTTTGTTTTATTTAAAGAAGTAATATAGGATGGTAGACAGAGTACGGCTTTTGATTTAAAAAAAAAATAAAAACCACAAGATGAATGCCATGCTTTAACTACTGATAGTTTAATCCCAGGCTTAATACTTAAAAATCTGAGAGTTGGTATTATTTATTGAACAAACTAAAATATTGACTTTTATTTAACTGTCGGGCTAAAACAAATATCATAACTGTATACTCAATAAGTATACAAATGTGAGTCTTCAATAAGTATTATCATTTTATTTCTTTTCACTTGTCCATAATAGGACCCAAACCCTGAGATAATTTAATTTAAAAGGTAAATGTCAGTTAGCAGAGAGCACCAAAAATACAGATCCAAATGCATTAACTTTTTCTTATTTAATACTACAGTTGATGTCCTTATTTATTGTTGGAGGAATAAATGATTTTCAAATGTAAACTTAGATCACTTGTTCTCAAAAAGCAGTTGATATGTATTTACTACTCATCAAAAATGTAATTCATTAAACCCTCCTCAATTAGACACCAGCTTATAAGGTTTAAGCCTACATCTTTTTTCCTTCTTCTTCATCCAATCTTAGAATCAGAAATAACTTTAAAATAAGGAGAAATAAATATTTGCTAAAAGATTTTCTTTATCACTTAGAAACTCTGTATGTATCTGTATATTTTAACAAGGTAGTCCAGGCACAGTTCTGAAGCAGCAAAGCAGACTAAAGGAAAAATAATATTATTAAAACTGAAGAATTTATGGAGGATAAATAAATTAGAAATTTTAAAAAGTCAAAGATCACATCGATCACACTTGTCCCACATTCTGCCATCCCTGCTTGACAAACTTTTTAACCCTTCACCATTCCACTTATAGTTGAGAAACAAGATTAATATCCACATTATTTACATTCTTCAGAATAAAGCAAGCAAAATAAATCTAACTACAGGTCCTTCCGGTATTACTGTGTTTTGAAATTGCCCCCATCGTGCTGAAAAATTAGTTTACATGCTGAAAAATTACAGCCTGCCTTTAGCATTGTATTACCCATGTTAAACATTCTTTTCTACATAGAAATACATGAGACACTTTCATCTTGAAAACTCAAGAAGTATCTAATATATATGCTTCTACTGAAACTGAAATACAAACAGAAATGATAGCTCTTATCATTTTCCTTGTATGTGTTATCAAAATATTTTTCTTATTTGTCATTTAGTAGGAGATTAGATCCTCATTTTATCATTTCTGAGCATAGAACAATTGACTAATGCATAAATTTCCTACAAAAGATCACAAAGTTTTTTGGCATTTTCTAGTACTATTTATATTCCCCTACGTATAATGTGGTCGTATTCAAAAGGCAGTCAGTTGTTTAGCCCTTTCCAATATTGTAATAGACAGTTTTTATTTTATTTTGGAGATTATGACACTATTACATCATTTCTTACTTTCCTTTATTGGCTCCAAGTCACCCCACATACCCTTCCTTCGTCGCTTTACAACCAAGTTCAAAGACCCTTTATACATTGATTATTGTTACAATTATATTCCTGTGTTGTTCAATTCCTTTTCCTGGCTGTGCTCTACTTTCCTCTAGACTTCCTCAAGCATTTTAGGATGCAGTTCATGTCCACAGCAATTTCAACCACAAACTAACATCTGTTAATAACCAATTTATTTACTCTTAAGTTTATTTCTATCCATCCATTTTACCTGAATGATGACAACAGCATCTTGTCAGAGTCAGGTTTCCCTGTGTCATCTCTCATAAAGTGCCACATGGAATCTTCCATTAGGAATATATGTAGTTAATTACATAATGCCTTGAGAGGCCACTGACCAAGGGACACTGCAAAAGCATGAGAGCTTTAAAGTGGCTCATGGTTACAGGATTTTCTCTAGAGAATTATTTGTTTTGGTCAGTGTGACTAAAGAACTCTGAAACTCAGATAGTGCAGAGAGAGAAATAAAAGTGGAATTGTTTTGGTCTTATTACCTAGATCCAATAATTGATAATTGCTCATTGCAATTATTCCTTACTTCAAAGAAAATATTTTCTCAAAATTTACTGTAAATAATCAATTTATTATAAATATGCTGGGCCAATGAGTTGGCTCTATAAATAAAAACAATTACTATCAAGCCCAGGCACCTGAATCAATCCCTTAAACTTGCATGTAGAAGAAATGAACTAACTTAAGAGTTGACACAATCTCCATACAAGCCTTACTTTACAAAAATAAATACTAATTACAAAATATTTTAACATTATAATGTAACATGATAAATAAAAGACCCTGAGACTGATGTTGCGATTCAAATTTCAAGCTGAAGAACAGAAAAGCAAAGTGGCAGGCCACTAGTTCTTACCAATATCTCAGGCTGAATGGGCTGGTCTCATTGCCTCTCCTCAGTGTGGCTGGAGAATGAATACCTCCTCCTAAATACTGAAGACCCTGCTTCTATCTTTTACATCCCTGTGGCACTGGTATTAAAGGAGTGTGATCTGTTACTCTTTTAGACTGACTCAAACTCATGTATACCTGGGTGTCGTGGAACTCAGAGAGATCTGTCTACCTCTTAATCCTAAATCCTAGGATTAAAGGTGTGAACCACCACCTCCTAGCTTCTGGCTGCTGTGATTAAAGG